GGGGGGGGGGGGGGGGGGGAAGAGGAGAGAGAGAGAAAGAGAGAAAGAGGGCGTCGCCACACCACTCTCGAAATGTGAAAAAAATAATGTAATGGTTGCATCTGCCATGTATTCACGGCAAGTTCATTCTCATTTTGCACATTTCGAGAGTGGGACCCCTTGATGCAGTGTCGAGTTTGGCACCAAACTCGGTGTTAGACTTGTCTGACGCCCTCTCTCTCTCTCATGTCTCTAGCGCGCTTTGCTAGGGTGGCCGGTGGTGATTGGGGAGCTTTGCTCATGGATCTATACCCCGGCCTTGACAGATACATGTACAACTAGAAAATACGAATTTTTGGGAGCAGATTTCGGACTTCGGCGGTTTCTCTATATTTTTATACATATATTTTATTTTATTTTATTTTATTTTATTTTATTTTATCTTATTTTATTTCATTTTATTTTGCTGCATTTTGTTGTTTGAGTTGATTTATCCGGATTAAATATCGGCTGGTCCCCGACCTTATATCGGGTTATCCTTCACGAGTGACGTTTGGAAGTGGTCGGAATACAGATGGTGCTTCCCGAACTGAGTACTTAGTCGAAGGGACTCCTCGGAACGTTTTTTAGGAAACCTATATGAACGCGCACTGACATGCATACGCTTTTTTCGGTGATGCTGGGAAGTTTCGTTTTAAAATCATATTGTGAAGTTTTTGAACAAAGAATTTGAGAAATTCGAGACTGAGGGTAGAGTCCTGGATTCGGGGCAAGGTAAGGTCTTTGAATGTGTGAGCATACGGAGGGCCGTGGCTTAGCTCGGAGAGTTCAGTTTCCCCAGTGGCCAGAATGCTATCTATGGGCACCGGGTATGGCGGACCTCACTGGTAGTGAAGGGAGAAAGACACAGAGCCGACCTTGCTATACTGGTTACGGTACTAGCGACAAGGATTGGAGATGTGATTCGATTGTTGGCGAGTGCAGCACACTGATCGTTCAGGCAAGATGCGCGTATTGATCTATAGGGCCAGCAAGCCGATTACAAGCTTGCCGACTCGACGTGAGAAAAACCCATGAGAAAAGGTTTCAGCAAAGGTGGTGTTGAACCAAGCGATATGTGTTCTCGGTAATGAATCAGGACGAATCTGGGGTGGAAACGTACATACATACTGGCATATGAGCTATGAGGCGGCGAACGACTGAAACGAAGGCACGTAGAGGAAGTTTTTGGAGGTTAAGGAGTATTCTTGCGGTTTTTTTGCGTACGAACGAGGATCGTGTATCGGTTCAAGTCATTTTGGTGGGAGATCGGATTTTTTGGCGCGCGTGCGTATGTTTTGGTTGGTAGTAGTGGTAGTACGTAAAGTATTTAAGAATGAGAGAGGGATGGCCTTAACCCTCTCTCTCCAGGTATTCAAGACTGCCTGGGTCCCGGGAATTAACTCCCTGATGAAGCTGTGGTATACGCCCACAACGAAACGCGTCGGAGTGATGCGTATTGTGCTGAAACGATTATCTAATTTTTCCTGTGTATGTACTGGTATCTGATTGTGCTATGGTGTGATCTTCCAGTGCGTGATGCAGTGTGGCCACTGTGTCGTCTCCTTCGAACTCGGAGAACGTGGTAACCTTCGTTGCTCTGCCAGAGGCATGGTGGCTACGGGTACATCGTTATGTTCGACATCTTCATTCTCGGTATCTTCATTTCCTCATCATCATTTCGTCATCTTCATTTCATCATCGTCATTTCGTCATCTTCACTTCCTCATTTTCATTTCTTCATGTCTTCAATTTCTTCGTCGTTACCGGCTTCGTTCAGTGTCTTTCGTCAGGGCTGGCAGATTAAGCATTATTGCGTCTTCTTCATCAACCGCGCCTTATCCTACGTCCGTAGCGGGATCGTCGACATCCCAGTCATCGTCAACAGCAGGTTCATCACAACTGTCATAGTTGTTCGCATCATTTTCAACGATTTATCAATGTCAGTTTCGGCATCGTCATTCCCATCAGCAACACGTTCTTCCTCGTCACCGATGGTATCATCTTCATTAGCGTCATCGATCGTAACACGATCATCATCGTCATCGGCGTACACATGATGACGTACGGAAGTCCCGTTTTGGGGTAAGTTATTGTGGTGCGGGGTGAAGGGATAGAGGGTTTTGCGCTCCGGAGAGTAATAAGGAAGGGATGATTTAACGCCGGTCCGTCCGGGAAGTATAGTGATTAGGTAGTAACCATCGCATGTATGACGTGGGAGATAGAGCTAGTCTGATAATTGCTGTTTTTTTTGGCATGAAGGTGAAATGCTACAGTCCGTGTATAATTTTCACAATTGTGGTAATCGGTCTGACGTGTATGGGTAAGAGGCATTGGGATTTACATGGTAAGGGCTGTTTGATCGAAGCGAGCATCGACTTCCGCTGTAGTTGGTCACGGACTGAAACAATAGTTAAAAAAGTATGATTACCAGGGACGTGAGGGAAGTTGAGCTAGAGAGGTTATGGAGTGACTTTGAAAGAAAATTTAGCGATTTAATACCGATCTTACATATAGCTCTACATGATAATAATCGGGATACGAAAACAAAATTACTCACGCAACTAGATAGGGTATTAGGGAGAGTTTATAGCGTGGGGTGCATCTTGCGAGATAGTAGAACACGTAGGATAAGGATTCAGCGAAGGAGGTTGCAGGATGATTCCTAACCAGCAGACGGGAGTACCTATCAGTCAGGGGCATTTCGGTGCTTCCCAGTTGCCTGTTAATCAAGGACAGTATGTGATGGCTCAGCAACCTTTCAGTGTTGGTGGGGGTGGCGCATTGCAGGGAACGGTTACGTGCTGCATATGTGGTAAGACGGGCCATTACTCATGGAATTGCTGGCACGCAGTGGGTAGATCGTCGCCGACCATCGATTCAGATACCTCAGAAATGAAGCAGTTGTACAAAAAAGCCATCCAGAAGGAGAAAGAGGAAAATGAAAGGAAGATGAAGGAGGAGATGGATAGAAGAAGGGTGGAAGAGCTGAGGAGGATTGAAACATGGAAGATCAGAGAGGCGGAGGCCAGGGAAGCACGTTTGGAATCTACCATAGTCAGGCTGTTGTCGCAGCACAACAGAAGCCAACTGGCTTTGCCAACTGCCCCTGTGAAAAAGAAGTCTCCAAGGTCCAAGGCAAGGATGCTACATGAGATAAGAAGCTACCTGGACGAATCTGAGGAGGATAGTGAAGAGGTAAACGAGGAGGCCGAAAAACTTATTGATGCGATCGAAAAGCGAAAGAAGGCAGGGAAAAGGAAATTGGTAGATCTTGAGGAGGAGCAGACATCGAAGAAACCGGCCAGAGCGCAGCAGAAAGAAGAGAATGATGAGGAGGTTCTGAGAACTCCAAAAAAGAACCTTGCAGCACCTTGCTCAAGCGAAGGGGTGGTGGAGTATGCTCTGGAAGTTCACCGAAGGATGTCGACAAAAAAGGTGTCTGAACTGCGGAAGATATGTGGGAAAGAAGGGATTCCGTGTGCGCGAAAGGAGGAAATGATCTGCGAGTTGGTAAGATGCAAGACAAAGGTAGCGTATGAGGGATTGTTCGAGAAGAGTCCCGCGTCGATAGGAGAAAGGTAAAGTATCCGTAGAACGCCTCTGGCAATATGGAGACCCTCGGCACTTGGATGGCAGCGAGGGTTGAGAAGATGGGTGATAGCGGTAGACTAGTGCATTTTGAGCTAGAGAACCGGATGACTAGACTGTTCTCGTTACTAGCAATCCAAGGCAAGTTTTCATGGATGCGGAAGTGGTTAACGATCCTTAATGAGGAGGCGATAGAGAGAATAGATACTAGAGACTCGGGGGTCTATGTTATCACAAGCCCATGGTGTAAGCATATATACATTGGGTGCATGGTGAGGAAGATAGTGACTAGGTGGACCGAGCATGTTCGTTGTGCGGTATCAGGGAACTTCGGGAACGCTCGGAAGCTGCACGTAAGGCTAAAGAGGTTTGGATGGGAGAAATATGTGATTATTCCTATAATAGTAGGGGTGCAAGACCCTGGGAGGGTGGAATCGTCGTTGATATCGAGATTCTGCCCAACTTTGAATAGTATTGGGAGAAAAACGGAGGGTACTAAGAAAGAGAAACGAAAAGGGAAGCGGGAGAGAGGGAAAGGGGGGATCAACGCAAAATAAAGCGCGATGGTCAGTTTCTCCTACCTTGGGGGTAATTTCTGTTCATTACTAACATTGTTGGGTGAGCTTCCGAAAGACAGAAAGTATGGGCCCATTACCTCCTCTGGGGGTAATCTATGGTGTGATGGGTGGAGGAAAATCAGATTGAAAGCCGGAGAGACAGAGATTGAAGTGGGTGCGAGGAAGTACTGTATAAGGAACAGTTGTTCGATCTTGGAGAGATAGTCCCAGTTCACAGTACTAAAGGTAATATTAATATCCTCGGCCTTGGAAGGGAGAAAAAGTTATCTGAGGGAAATCCTAGCGCGACCGTACCGTCTGAAACGGGCTTATAAAATGACTTCTTCCAAGCTGGTTGCATTATATAGGACAACTTCGTTGTTTGCGGCAAGAAAGATGAGGACAACTCTGAAAATTCGGATCTCCAAGGTTTTCAACAACAAGTGGGGTGTGGATATTTGTAAGAGGCCGGTCGTCAAAGTTCCATATTCACCATCACTGAAGACCAAGGGTGTGCGGGATATCAGCATCGATGCGATTGGACAATTGATTCATGACGTATCGATTCGGAAGTACGTAGCTGGACGGGTTCGGATCGTACTCATGAGAAAGAAGACGGTTGCGGATCTGATCCACAACCACAGGACCTGGGTCAGGCATGACGCCGCAGTCTGTACTTGTGCTGAGTTTGACCTGCCGAGAGTCCAAGGTTGACGATATTCCTCACGTTCCGGTTTTTGTTCGGGGGCTGTCAGATACATGCTCATGAGCCTAAAGAAGAGTTGTCATTTTGATTTGTCAGCCACGGATGAACTGAAACCGGCATTAGAGAAGCACCAATGCTCGCTGGGAAAGAAGAATGATGAAGTATTGGTTAGGAGTTATGATGTGAAAGATATGTTCGCCAAGCTATCTCATGAGAGTGTGATAAAGTCGGTAGAATGGTTGATGGAGGTGCATAGTAGTAAAGGATTGAGAGCAGTAAGAGTGAGCTGGAGGGGTAAGGAGTGTATGATGGCCAAATCGTTGCGTAAGACTGAGGGTTACGTTACCATGAGTTTTGAAATTATGAAGGAAATGGTAATCTACGACTTATCTCATGCCTTTGTCAAATGTGGATCGGTAACGTTGAAACAGGTATTTGGCATACCTATGGGGAGGAATTCTAGCCCGACCATGGCATGCTTGGTCTGCGCCAGGTCGGAAGATATGTTCCTCACGTCCCTAGGAAGAGACAAGCACTTGGTTCGTGGTATCAGGATGATTGATGATGTTGCTGTGATGGTTGGGGTGCATTCGGCAGACCTGGACTCATGGGAGAAAGCTACGGACATTTTGACAAAGTTCGAATCTTGCTATGATGAGTCATTAAAGCTGGTTAGGAAGGATGAGAACTCAAATACTTTTGAGTTCCTGGGTGCTAAGATTCAGGAGGGGATATGTCACATCCAGGTGTTCATATATCCAAAAACCCGGAACCAAAAGAGCTTGGGGCAACAGGATCAACTACAGTTTCACTCCATGCAGGAATTTGATTCCTTCTCATTCAAGAAGGCGAAAAAGTCGGTTTTGACAGTAGGTATGCTGAGGATCAGTCGCATGGCCACTTCTGAAGTCGACGCGCTTGCAGCAATTGCGGCATTGGTCAAAGAATCCAACCTTCGGGGTTACCCCCCGGAGGTCTCTTTCGGGTCTCTAGCGCGCTTTGCTAGGGTGGCCGGTGGTGATTGGGGAGCTTTGCTTCCGGATCTGTACCCCGGCCTGGACAGATACATGTACAACTAGAAAATACAAATTTTTAGGAGCAGATTTCGGCGATTTCTCTATATTTTTAATATTTTATATATATATATATTTTTTATTTATCTTATTTTATTTTATTTTGTTTTATTTAATTTAATTTAATTTAATTTAATTTATTTTATTTTATTTCATTTTATTTTGCTGCATTTTGTTGTTTGAGTTGACTTATCCGGATTAAATATCGGTTGGTCCCCGACCTTATATCGGGTTATCCTTCACGAGTGATGTTTGGAAGTGGTCGCAGATGGTGCTTCCCAAACTGAGTACTTAGTCAATGAGACCCCTCGGAACGTTTTTCAGGAAATATATATGAACGCGCACTGACATACGTACACTTTTTTCGGTGATGCTGCGAAGTGTGAACTTTTTGAATAAAGAATTTGAGAAATTCGAGACTGAGGGTAGAGTCCTAGATTCGGGGCAAGGTAAGGTCTTTGAACGTGTGAGCGTATGGAGGGTCGTGGCTTAGCTCGGAGAGTTCAGTTTCCCCAGTGGCCAGAATGCTATCTATGGGCACCGGGTATGGCGGACCTCACTGGTAGTGAAGGGAGAAAGACACAGAGCCAACCTTGCTATACTGGTGACGATACTGGCGACGAGGTTTGGAGACGTGATTCGATTGTTGGCGAGTGCAACACACTGATCGTTCAGGCAAGATGCGCGTATTGATCTATAGAGCCAGCAAGCCGATTACAAGCTTGCCGATTCGACGTGAGAAAATCCCGTGAGAAAAGGTTTCAGCAAAGGTGGTGTTGAGCCAAGCGATATGTGTTCTCGGTGATGAATCGGGACGAATCTGGGGTGGATATGTACATATATACTGGCAGATGAACTATGAGGCGGCGAACGACTGAAACGAAGGCACATAGAGGAATGTTTTGGAGGTTAAGGAGTATTCTCGCGGTTTTTTTTTGCGTACGAACGAGTTTGAGTGCAGGGTTTTTTGCATAGGATCGTGTATCGGTTCAAGTCATTTTGGTGGGAAATCGGATTTCTAGGCGCGCGTACGTATGTTCTGGTTGGTAGTAGTGGTAGTGCATAGAGTATTTAAAAATGAGAGAGGGATGGCCTTTACCCTCTCTCTCCATGTATTTAAGTCTGCCTGGGTCTCGGGAATTGACTCCCTGATGAAGCTGTGGTATACACCCACAGCGAAACGCGTCGGAGTGATGCGTATTGTGCTGAAACGATTATCTAATTTTTTCTGTGTATGTACTGGTATCTGATTGTGCTATGGTGTGATCTTCCAGTGCGTGATGCAGTGAGGCCGCTGTGTCGTCTCGTTCGAACTCTCTCTCTCTCTCTCTCTTTTTGTGTGTGTGTGTGTGTGTGTGTGTGTGTGTGAACATCCCACCGAGAATGAATCTTCTTCTTGAACGTCCCACCGAGAATGAATCTTCCTCTTTATCAAGGAAGATTCATTGTCAGTGGGACGTTCAGACACACACACACACACACACACACATACAGAGGACATCGTCACACCAGTCTCAAAATGCAAAGAATAAAAAAATGCGGTGGGTGGATCTGCCCATGTGGTAGTCACCACCCTCATCATTACGACGAATGACTAGTGACTTGTCTCTCCTTCTCTTTTTGCTCATCCCGAAATTGACAACGTTGGCAGCATCTTCGTCTCCGTCTGCATATTCAACACTTGAGAGATCTTGTTTTCAGCTTTTTAGCGTTCTGGGTAGGGGGAGAACGGTCAATGGCTTTCTTGGATTTCAAAAGATGCGTCAATAAGTATTTCATGACGGGCTTTGAATGGGTAATCCATTCGCAATCAGTTGGGACTCTCGGCCACATGGGTATAGGAAGCGACGATACTCGCTCATGTGCCATCCAAGATGCAGACCATCCCAACAACCCATTTGTCCAAGGTGGATTTGTAAGGGTCGAAGGAAGTCGGCAAACACACAAGGATGGTATCAGAAGCCGCAATAATATGGTGACTATGGCAAGCGAAATGACATGATTATAAGCAATCTCGGATAGCTGTAAGTCTCAATCCTGCTCGTCTTTAAGGAAGTTCTTGAGCATTTTGCCAAGAGTTTGTTGGTCACTTGAGTCTGATCATCGGTTTGAGGGTTGACAGGATGAGGAAAAGCAGACTTAAGCCACCAGTACCTTGGCCAATCATTTGTTTTTCAGTTGCGGCGCGTTAACGGCCGCAGCTTCAGGAGGTCGCCCGTCCGGGTCATGTAGGATTTAACAGTCAAAAAGAGAAAAAAGAAAATAAAAAAAAAAACATAGATTAATTCATGGAGAGAGAGAGAGAGAGAGAGAGAGAGAGAGAGAGAGAGAGAGAGAGAGAGAGAGAGAGAGAGAGAACTCCTTATGCGACATCGAAAACATTTGTTTTAGGGAATTTGGGTGCATTGTTTTGCTTTTCTTTTTTTTGTTTCGTGAACTCCTTTCCTTTTTGCTTTCTATTTTCACACGATATTCTGGTTTGTTTTCCCCCTTTTTCTCAATTTCTTCTTGATTTTCTTTTGAACACATCCTTGACTGTGCAATGCCCGGTAGCACCAGCCTGAGCACGTTTTGGCGTACTGGTAGCCGCAGCATCGGTCTGACAACTCCAGGGACTGGTGGTTTAAACTTTAAACCACCAATACATGGCCCCAAGCAACTTGAGAACCTGTTTCTGGCGTCTCCAAAAATGTAGGAGGCCAGGCGGCGTAGATAAAATGAATTGGCGGCCAGCGGCCTTCGAAAGGGGCCTGCGGCCGATAATTGGCATGTACTAGTGGTTTAAGAACCGCAAATATCATGCAAGCAAGTGATCCCACGTGGGATAGCTGTAGGTCCCAATCTTGCTCTTCCTCAACGAACTTTTTGAGCATATTGCCAAGAGGTTGTTGGTCACTTCACTCTGATCATTAGT